TTTTTTTTTTTTTTTTTGGTGTAGAATAATATCCTTCAGAAATCTTTGATGCATCAGTGAATTAAAAGAAAAAAATGAGATGTAAGTGCTTTCTCTATTTGTCATTTTTAATACATTTTGAGCCACTTGATTTATGATTAGGCATTTCTTGGGAGAGGAGAATGTTTGAGGTGGTATTTTGAGCTCCATTTAAGGCAATTTAGTTGTCATCAGGCCCCCTCACCCCATAACCTTTGTGAGACCTTGCTTCATAAATTGGACCCAAACAATTGGCTTGTGTTTCAAGTAGACAGAGCCTTATGGAAATGATACTTGCTAAGTGTTTTTATTGGACATCTGGGTAAAAGTTAGCCTTTGTCAGGCCAGTCACAACCCACAGCTAGCCTGATTCTAACACTCATAGTGGCAGTTTCTGCTCTCAGAAAATGTTTAAAAAATTCTTTTAAATCGAGAGCAAATGAGATTAATTTAGATTTACTCCCCCCACCCCAGCTCTCTTCTTTGGTTCCTGATTCGGCGGCTGAGAGTATGAATGTTACCTCCATTCTTCCCTCACCTCTAGGTCAAGTCTTTGTGTTTCATGTCTCTTTGCCCTTCATTTCGGAGCAGCCCACCCAAATACTAGGCAGGGTCTCTACGGTCTACATTACGTTCATGTAATGCCAGGACACCGTGGCTCTCCCAAGGAATGGCATAACGATTTCACGACTTGGAGGTGCTAAATTGGGCTCAGCCAGCTTGAAAGGTAACTGGAATTTCTTCCTCTTAAGTAGTCATCTCAGCCCAGGCTAATGTTAAGTGCCAGTGGAATGGAGTCTCCTCATTGCCTGTGTGGCCCAAGACGAGAGAGACGGGAAAGGTTAGTACCATTTCACTCCATTTCTTAGTAGGTAACCCTAGCCTTTATTTTAAATAGATAAAACAATAAAGGATTGTCCTTTGGGTGATTTCCAGATTTTAAAAATGGAGGTGCTCTGGTAGTATTTTTCATCATTTATAGGATTATATAGAATTTTATATTTGAAAAACACATTGCTGTTATAAACCCAATTCTAGAAATTCCTGGGTCAAGGGCAGAGTATCTCTTAGAAGAGAAATCCAGGGACAAGGTCAAGAAATGACTTGGCCCAATATAAATAAAAAACAAATAGTGTTTAAAAATTTCAAATATTAAAAGAATTAAAATATGGGTTGAGAGGAGTGGAAATGCTCAGAGTATCCACAAGATGAATTTTTTTCTATTTTATACTAAGAAAAATATCCATTTCTCAGGCAAATGGATTCTCATGTGATCTAGGGAGCTTAAAAAAAAAACATAGATGGGGAGGTAGCTCAGTGGTGCAGCGCCTGCCTGGCAAATGTAAGGTCCTGAGTTCGGTTCCCGGTCCTCCCCCAACGACCAAAAAAAAAAATAAAAAAAAAAAAAAAGAATAACTCGGGATGCTAGCATGTAATAGCCTCTCTCTATCACTGCTCTCCTAAATGTTATGTGGCATTTTAAAGTATACAGTCTATGCAGTTAATGTGTAGACTTTAGTGACACTGAATGTTTTGTTTTGTTTTAACTAAGAATTGATTGAACACAGGGCCTTCATACTGTGCTACTTCTCCAATTCATACACACACGCACGCACACGCGCGCGTGCACACACACACACACACACACACACATATATCCAGGGTCTTGCTAAGTCACTAAATTACCCAGGCTGGGCAAGATTAGGTATTTCTCCTGCCTCGGCACCCCGCTCCCTGAGTTCTGTGATTACAGGTGAGCACCACCAAGCCCAGTTTTAGAGATCGTATTAAATGAAGTGCTCTCACTCACAAGCCCTCACTTCCTTGAGATGTGGCTTCAGAGTTGAGATGCAAATGTCATCCCAGGATACTGATGATAAGCAGGGCTTCTACACCAAGTTCCAGTTAATAAAGCAGCTTCACGCATGGGCACCTGAGATGCTGTTTTTTGGAGGAAAGGCACTCACTGAGTTCAAAGACAGCACAGCAGTTTTTTCCTTTAGCGCGTCCCTGCGCTAGTAGCCATCTACAAGCTGCTATCATGAAGAAACCCAGACTCTGAACAGTGCTGTTGGGTCAGCGTTTGCCTTTCTGTGCCTCCATGTGCTTGTCAATAATGGAAGGAGCCGGATAAGACCTTTAATAGCCTTTCTACCTTTAGAATTGTCTGTTTTCTATATTCAGTTCAAGAGTTTTTGGTAATTTTTGTTTTGTTTTAGTTCCTTTGGGTGTAAGGAAAGCAAGCCAGGGAGAAAGTGAGGAAGGTAAAGACCAGGAAAGAAAAACAAGAGTGAGGGAGAACTCGGAGAAGAGTGAAAGGAAATGAGCTTATAGGGAAGTAATGGGGTAAGAGAATTATGGGAGGTAAATTAATTTCCTGTATCCTGATTTAATGCAAGAGGGAAATGGCTGATGATTTGCAACGTGATTCTGTACAAGTAGTGTCAGAGTTAATGATCTCTGTAACTTCTCTTTAAGAATCCGCACCAAGTGACTGCACAGTCCATGCTGGGCTGCAGGCAGAGACCCCAGTGATCCAGTTTGGGGGTGTAGAAAGGAGCACCCTTACTGTCGATCAAGATACTGTGGCCTCTGTTCATGACGTGGTGAACAAGGAACAATGTGGGGTTGATGCTCTCTAAGGTGCAGGCGTGAGTTTGTGGCTCTTCTCTCTGTAGCACACTCATTCTGTAACATTCTGCCCTGACCCGCTGCACTGAAAACAAATAAAAAGCTTGCTTCTCACAAGGTGTTATTCACTTCACTGCATCATAGTTGATCAGAAAACCTGTGGCAATTATTCTATTTCTAACTTTATCAGTAGTTACCCTTGGGTTTTTTGTTTGGCTTGGTTTGGTTTGGTACTAAGGATTAAACTATTTACATTCCAGTCCATATTTTTTAGGAGGCAGGGTCTTGCTAAGTTGCCATGGGTTTGAAATGGCAAGCTTTCCTGCTAAGTTTGAGGCTGGGCTTGAAATTGCAATCTTTCTGCCTCAGCCTCCCAGAGTACAAGGATTACCAGCCTATGTCAACACTTCACTCTTTCTTTCCTTCCTCTCTTTCTCTTTCTTTCTTTCTTTGCTCCCTTCCCCTCCTCCAAAATAACAGGTACATTCCCAGGTATATTCTCTGTGACACTCTCATTTCTTAAAGCAGACAGGGATTGGGTGATTTGGCCGTCCCTCCTGTTGTGAGTCACTGTAGAAGGTCTCACTCCCTCGGGGGCACCATCGCACATCTTGGTAAAATGCGGGCTGAACTGATTCTGGAAAGACTGCATCAAAACATTTTCAAAGTATTATTGTCTGATATGGACAGAGCAGGCCCCCTGCAAATGCCGGATGAAGGACTGCAGAGAACTCTGAACTTTGCAGTGGGGATGTCCAGGGTGAAGTCTTATGCAGATTTACTCTTTCAGCCATTGACACTTGTGTCTGTGACACAAATGGCAGTCACAATCCAAACAGGGTGTCTTAGTTGTTGCTGTGTCTCAAAGGCAGGTGCCCTGAGCTCTTATTTGAAAAGAAAGTTTATTATTTCTCAAGCCATAGATCTGTCAACAGCAGCCCAGAACCTTGCAAATCCTAAAGGCATCTTTCATGCCTTCCTTGTTTATGAAAATCATATCTGAGTCCAATCCTTCACTGGCATGGCAGATTTTTAAAGTAGTGTCCCTTTTAGGTTATGCCAGAGAGATGACTAGTGGGATCATTAATTGCAAATGTTAAATAAAGTGAAAAGTCATTTAAAAGCCCTTAAATTTTTTTCTAGCTTAAAGTATAAGATTGTGTATTCATTCAGCAATGTAGGAAAGCACAAGTCTTTTCTTTGAATCAAGGTCTGATATTGGAATTGTTTTTCCTAAACCACACATTTTTTATGCATCATCTACAATTTCCAGTTTTGGGATTTTAAAATTATCGTTTCATTAGCATAAAGCAAGAATGAATTTAAAGTCTCTCATAAAGTAATCTGAGAACGGAGACCCTCCAGATTATAATTATTGGTTTTCTCTGACTTTTATAGTTGTTTCAGTCATACATAATTCAATAATACTTTCAGCAGTACCATTTTGTTTTTCTTTGCAAAATGGCCATCTTCACTTTCATATAAAAGTATATGAATATAGCTGGATATGGTGGCACGTACCTATAATCCCAGCAATTGGGAGATCAAAGCTGAAGGATGTAGAGCTCAAGACCACTGTAAGCTACATAGCAAGACCTTGTCTCAAAAATTATATCTATATATATCTATATATATGTATGTATACGTACATATACATTTTTATTGTGCATTGTATAAAGTGATACTCATTCATCAAGGAAAAAAGATAGAAGTCAACCACTATCAAGCATTGTACATAATAGAGATGATCAGCAAGATGAGGAAAGATTACTTCTAGTTGAAATGAGAATGCTAAAACAATCTGTGATAGGCTGAACTGTGTTTGCCCAGAAGTTCGTGTACTAAAGTTCTAAATCCCAGACCTGAGCATACAACGATATTTGGAAATAGAATTTTTACACAGGCAATTAAATAAAGTCATTGGGTGGGAACTAATCCAGTGTTACCAGTCTCCAAAGAAGAGGAAATTTGAACATAGACACGGACATAGAGAAGACCATGGGGAGACTCAGGAAGATAATGTTATTTATAAGTCAAAGCAAGAAACCTGAAGCAGGGTTTACCTTCATAGTCCTTAGTAGTAACCAAGCCTCCTGACAAACAAATTTGGGCTTCTGGCTTCCAGAACTACTAAAAATTTTTCTGTTGTTTAAGCCAACTTCTCTGTAGTACTTTGTTATTGTATCCTTATGAAACAAATACAGCAGCCTTAAGGAGGGGCGGATTTTGATGTGTAGAGTAAAGGAAAGGTAGTCTATTAGTAGTCCAATAATAAGAGGCAGAGAACTGATGGCAATGGAAAAGTAAGAACAGAGACTGAACGGTAGGCAAGAAGTAGATACAATGAACAGGCTGGCTAAGGAATGAGAAAATGTAGGACAATGGTGGAAACTTAGAAGAAATAGTCACATCTTCTCTAGGCAGTGGGGTCAAACTTTGGAACAGTGATGTGACCAAAGCAGAATTTTGCAGTCATTATTTGTACAAAAAAGGTGGTTTTCATGATACTGGCAAATCTCTTCCACTGAGGATCAGTGGAATAGATTAGAAGATGAAGAAGCAACTCCAGACATACTCAGTTACCTCATCTTTGACAAAGGAGCCAAACGCCCTCACTGGAGGAAAGATAGCCTCTTTAATAAATGGTGTTGGAAAACTGGATTTCAATCTGCCAAAGATTTAAACTAGACACCTATTTTTATCATGCACTAAACTAAAATCAAAGTGGATTAAAAAAGTCAATATGAAAACAGAAATACTAAACTTTTTGGAAGATAAGTTAGGTAGAACTCTTGAAGACATTTTGGCATAGGAAAAGACCTTATGAAAAAATCCTCAGTAGCATGGGAACTAGAAGAAAGAATAAAGAACTGGGATCTCATCTTATTAAAAATCTTTTTCACTGCAAAAGAAACCACCAAAAGAGCTAAGAGACAACCTACAATGTGGGAAAAAGTTTTTATCAGCTATTCCTCAAAGGACTACTATCTAGAATATATAAAGAACTTTAAAAAAATCAGGTCCCCTAAAAACAAAGACCCAATTCAAAAATGGGCATCTGAAGTGAACAGACTTTCCTCAGAAAAAGAAGTAAAAGCAGCAAATATATGAAAAATGTGTTCAACATCACTAGTCATTAGAGAGATGCAGATGAAAATCACACTGAGATTCTACCTCATCTCAGAAAGAATAGCTGCTATCAAGAAATCAACCAATAACAAATACTGGTGGGGTTATGGGGAGAAAGGAACCCTTCTCCATTGCTGGTGGGAGTGCAGACTGCTGCAACCACTGTGGAAATCAACATGGAGATGCCTCAAACAAATAGGATTAGAGGTTCCGTTCGACCCAGCTATTCCCCTGCTCAGTCAGAATCTTTCCGAAGAATTAAAAGAATCATGCCAAAGTGATATATGTGCACTCCTGTTTATAGTGGCACAGTTTGTAATAGCTAAAGCTTGGAAACAGCCCAAATGCCCATCAGGGGAGACTGGATAAAGAAGATGTGGTGTTTTTGTCTCATAAAATGGAATACTACTCGGCCATAAAGAATGAGAAACTAGAGACATTCATAGTTAAATGGATGCACATCGAGGTCATACTTTTAAGTGAAGAAGTAGGACAGATGTGTAAGTACTGAATAGGTGTGAGAAACTAAAAGTGTAAACAAGGATGAAAATGTATAACTGATAATGTGAAACAGGAAGAAAAGTTCTAAAGCAGTAGGGGAAAATGGGAGGGAAGGGGAAAGGAAAGGAAAAATATGAGAAAAGGAAAAAATGGAAACAAAGACTTTGTAAGCAGGGAGGAGTGGAGGAGTTGAAGGGAGGGCAGGGGAATGGGGAAAAATAAAAACCAAGATACATCATGTAAAGGTACAAGATCCCAATGATGAGTGTCATTATATTGTACACCTAAAATGTACCAATGAATTTAATGGAGAAAAAAGAAAAGGAAAGAAAAGGCTGATTGATATAGTAGCCCCTTCTTGTATAGTATACCTGGGGGATTATATTCCAAGATGCCAAAGGATGCCTGAAACTGCATTGTACCTCTACATTCTTTGTTTGTTTGTTTGTTTTGTTTTTTGAGACAGGGTCTCACTATGTAGTTGAGACTGACCTGGAACTCACTATGCAGCCCAGGCTGGGCTCAAACTCACAGCGAACCTCCTGCCTCAGCCTCCGAGTGCTGGGATTACAGGTGTGTGCCACCACGCCCGGCTACCTCTACATTCTTATGATGAAGTTTAATTTATAAGTTAGATCCACTAAAAGATTACCAACAATAACAATAAAATAGAGCAAGTATAACAATATACTACAATAAAATCATTTAAAACTTCAGAATTACTTATTCTGGGATTTTTCCATGAACTAATGGTTGACCACAGGCAATAAATAGCAGAAAGGAAAAGTGCAGATGAGGGAGCCCTGTGTCCATGCTGAAGTCCTGTGGCTCTGAGCAGTGTGATGGGTGGGAGATGGTGAGGACTCATGGCTCAGGACAGTGAGAAAGCACTACTGCCTTACTAACCCGCATCCCCTCTCCTCCCAAGCGAGACTCACCAGGCTACCTACCATTACTTGCTTCTTGGTCCAGCATGGAGTGGACAATATGGGTGGCAGAACTCAGAAAGCTTATTTGGCTCTGGGCTTATGATGAAAGTCCCAGCCCACGTCACATATGGGGACCGAGGTTCAGTTCTTCCTTGGGCATATTTGACATCTCACACTGGGGTGCTGAAGCTGAGAGTGTTTTCTCTTGCACGCAAGACAGTAATTTCTTGAGAGCTTATCAAATTTGTGATGCTTAATAAATTCTTTTGAATATATGCAGTAATGACCATTACCATAGGTTTTGATAATGCTTGTAGCTTATCGCATTACAAGAGGCTTCCCAGACATCCACTGACCATAGCTGTTCCAGAGCCTGTTGATATTTTTTTTCCTCATTGAGTTTATTGGTACATTTTAGGTATACAGGACAGTTACATTCATCATAGGGATCTTGTACCTTTATGTGACAGGTCTTGGTTCTCATTTTTTCCCCTTGTCCCTGCCCTTCCTTCACCC